GCTATTTACTCCTCGCTCTTGGTGGTCCATTTACCTTCATCTCGTCTTTCCATCTCTCGAATGCATTTCCACGGCACTCCGGTCTTATCCTCGCCCTTTTGACTGGTGCCTTCGATTCGTCGAGTGCCGTCTTTCTGGTATACCGTCTGCTCTACAACTCCACCGAGGGTTCCTTTCAGCTCCGAAAATTCTTCCTCTTATACCTCATCGTTCCCGTCGTTATTTTGATTCTGCAGCTCTTCCTTATGCCGCGCACCTCGTATAAGACTGTGGGCGAGCTTGTCGATCAGGCGGACGGGGTGCAGGCAGCGAACGACACTCAGGGATCCGATGGGCCAATGGATGATCAGATCGATGAGGAAACAGCTCTGTTGCGTGACGAGCGGCGTGAGATCAGGAGGGAGCGGGAGACGGTCATGGCCGATATCCAGTCGCTTCTGGGTTCGGTCAAGGGAGACGAGCAGATCGAGGCAGAGGAGCGCAAGAACACAACTTCCGGGGTCTGGGGTATTCTGCATGACGCGACCGTCTTCCAGCAGGTGTCGTCCCCGTGGTTCATTCTCATCTGCGTCTTCACCGTCATACAGATGACCCGCATCAACTACTTCGTTGCTACCATTCGCGTCCAGTACGAGGCCATCCTTGGAGACTGTGCCAAGGCAGTGCAGATCAATGACTTCTTCGATATCGCCCTTCCGGTTGGCGGTCTTATTGCCATCCCATTCATCGGTCTCGTCCTCGACCACACAAGCACCGTTGTCGTACTCTCCATCCTGGTGTCTGCGGCTACCCTGATAGGAGTCCTTGGCATATTGCCATATATGTGGGCTGCTTACGCCAACGTCTCCCTCTTTGTTCTCTACCGGCCGTTCTACTACACAGCCGTTTCCGACTACAGCGCCAAGGTGTTTGGCTTCCGAACTTTCGGCACCGTCTATGGTCTAATCATCTGCCTCTCCGGGCTGCTGAATCTTTCCCAGTCAGGGTTGGACATTCTGCTCCATGAGACTTTCCAAGGCGACCCTGTGCCTGTGGACCTTATCTTGCTATCTTTGGGATTAGCGGTAGGCATCTCGCTTGTGTCTTATGTTGCGCTACAGTTGAGGAAGATTAAGAAGAGTGAGAGGATGTCACGATAAGAGCTGGAATTTTGACTTGGATATAAATTGTTAACGGCACCCTTGGGTATTCACTTAGCATGCTGTCTCTTACGCTGTTGCTTGATTTTATTCCCAAAAGACCATTATACACATATCAGTACAGCTAAACTGAAACTAAATATAAGCAAAGACTTCGTATTAATACATCCGATGCTACTATGTGGGCTTCATTAGTTCTAACTACTCAACCCGCGTGCATATACATACGCTGCGGCTTAGGTAAATAGCAATGATGCTGTAGTAGCCTGAATAACACCTATCGGATGAGTTCGGTGCCGCTGGTCTTATACAATTCTTTTTGAAGGCCCAGTGCCATACCCCATCCGTTGGCACATCTGCACTACCCTGAACACATTCTTCCATATGTGGAATGTGAAATTTGACAGAGACCAATGGTCCCTGGAACGTTGTGTCCTGTTCAATACGGTCATGGTTGAAAATGTAGAGCTGCGGATCAAGCATATTCCCACTTAAAGTTGTGTTTCCAAGAAGGTTTTTCTTAACAATAGGTGTCAAAGAAAACACACATGGGCGGAGTATGCTGGGGTTGCCATTGCTCAGTGATGCGGATTTTAATCCCAGCTCTGCTCTCATCCTATCTACTCCTTGTGGCGGCTCATTACAAGCGGCGGCCCGAGGCGACGACAGCGAGCCTTCGCGATCTAGAGAGGAGAAAGCAGGAGCACATAGAGCTATCCGTACCACATAACATCCTGCCAAAGTCGGGTTTGATGTCGGTTAATAATGAAGTTTATGGACATTGCACATCTCACATCTCCATCGGTGTGCCAACTGCTGCCTCCCGGGCCCTCCGGATCTCATCATGCTTCTCCTCATTTTCTTCCTTCAACCTATCCTCGACATCATCTCTAATTGCGCCCAAATCGGGAGGAATCGTTTGAAACTGGACACTGGGTGCTGCTTGAACGAATCGCAATTGCTCAGTCACATGCTGGACGATTTCTTGTAAGCGTTTCTGGGGATTGCGATTCTGTCGCGGCTCGCCCAAGGTTTGCTCTAGAGTAGGGAAGAGCGTATCGTGGCGGAAATGGTCCCTCCACGGTGCATGTTGGGGAAGGGTTGGGTCAATTTTCTTGTTGTACTCTATGGCAATCGACGTCTCGTATGTCCATGCGCGAGCAACGTTTCGTGGTGTGTATCCACCACCGCCAAAGAGGATCATGGGGATATTTTTCTCTTTGCAGAACTCGACACAAGCACCGTGACCCTGGACCTGGAGATTGAAGCGGCCAAGCCGGTCACCGGCTAAGGAGTCGGCGCCGCACTGTAAGGCGATGGCGCCTGGGCGGAATTTGGCTACAACGTCCCCGATCACACGATCAAAGAGCCATTTGTATTGCTCATCAGTAATCCCATCATTAAGTGGTACATTGAAAGCATGGTGCGAGCCGGGGTTGTGTTCGTTTTTGGGGCCGTTGTCCTCGAGGGCGCCCGTGCCCGGGAAAAAGTTGTTGGGGTCGTACTTGTGGAAAGAAACCGTCATGACACGATCAGTGGAGAAAAACGCCTCCTCTACACCATCACCATGGTGTACGTCGATGTCTATATAAAGCACTCGTGGGTAGAAGCGGAGAAGCTGCAGAATAGCAAGGACAATATCGTTGATATAGCAGAACCCAGAGGCCTCAGCCTTTTTTGCGTGATGCAGTCCTCCTCCCCAAGCGATTGCGATATCTGACTGATTTGAGCAGATCTTCCTCGCTGCATCCATCGCAGTCCCTGCAGACATGGAGCAGTAGTCATAAAGACCTTCGAAGAGAGGACAGTCAGAACCGCCGAGATTGAATCTCAAGTCTGGGTTTTGGCTTTCCAGATCCCGGGGAACAGGCTCGGGTAGAACTGTGCCTAGAAAATCAAGGTAGTCGGTCGAGTGGAAGCCTGCCAATTCCTCGTATGTGGCAGTACGAGAAATGTAGTTATCCATGGCAAATGACATGCCATATGAATATATCAGACTCTTGGAGAGCGCGAGTCGCCACGGCTTCATAGGGTGATTTTGCCCAAAGTGATACTTCTCCATTTCCGGGTTGCAATGAAACGACACGTTATAGCCCTTTGGGCGGGTGACGCCAGACTCTTCCGCATAGCGCTTGCACTTATGATAGAATTTGATGTCATCAGTTTCGCTGGAGAGGCCTAAGGGGGTGTTGTATTCCTCGACGACATTTTCACGGTCGACATCCGGTTTGTGAGGTAAGTAGTTGGGTTTTGGAACCTTGTATCTGTATGAGTCTATATCCATTGCATTCAAAGCCCAGGTGGCGCACTCGTTGGGCAGCCTGGGGTTTTAAGTAAATCAGGCGGGGATCACTGTGTTAAGCTGGGTAATTTTGATGCCGGTGGAGGGTAGTAACTGTGAGTGGTCTGCCCCGGCGTTTGGTTCCCTGCTGCTTCACGGGGGTAAAGATAAGTTTTTATCGATTTTACTTGGATGGATCTTGATTTGAAAGCAAGCGGTCCAGAGTCCTGTAAATATCCGGAGCTCGGAGTGTGTTTGCGCGTATGAATCCAAGAAGCCGAGACAGGTAGAGAGATAGAGATAGAGATAGGCCGGGTGTGAGAGCCAGCATATGTGTTGATGCGACGATGGTGAGGGAGCTTGGATGGTGCGGAAAGAAGGCAAGATGCTGGACGAGATGAATGAACTGGATGGCAGGCACACCCGACATAAGAACCGAGAAGTTAGTCCTGATCGAGTCTAGTGGGGGGACATGGTGCTTGTAGCGCATGGGTTCAGCCAAAGTATAGGCTCTTACTTTTCTGGTTCAGAGCTACCAGCCAGGCTACCAATCACTTATCGCCAACCTGCATCTCCCAGGGACGGCACCCACCCAGTCAATCATGAATGGCTGTCATCAGTCTTTGATTCTTCAACCTTCTCGTCGCTCTTCCACCACCGACACCATCAAGCATCCATCCGTCTCATCTGCCTGCGCTACCGACGGCCCTCCTCCGTATCGTCTGGCGGCTTGGCGAGACACGCACTATCAGGCCGGAAACGTCTAGCACTTACTCACTTGACAGGGCCATACAGAGCGAGCGCCCAAGGGGGAAAAACAAGCCCAGTGCCACAGTACCTGCGTGTATGCGCCTGAGAGGCTACAGCCATCGCGCATCGTTCACAGATAGATACTGAACGAACCAACCAACAACGTACGTACGTGCGCACGCATTGGAATCGAGGTGAGCCGCGTCATTTACCAAAGTCGCCCTCTGCCTGCGTTCCTCCGCGTTGTTGCTCTTGACAGCGTCTTGTCTTGCTTGTCTTGTGTGCACGCCATTCGTTCGAAGTCCCCGAAATCACTGGGCCTAGATGTGCGTGCTCCGGCATCCCTAACAGGATCTCTTGCCCTCCTTTTCTTCACATTATTGTCTTTATCCACCCTCTTTATTTTCATCTCGTTTTTATTTCATTTATCTCACCCATCTCCTTGTTTTTATGTGACAGATTGAGCATTTCGCATGCTTGTTGGGTATAACGGAGCCAACTCTAGCTGCTTTGGCCGCTCCACCGTAGCGTTTGTTTCCTTTGAACACGCTCTGCTCTGCATTTTCCCTCCAACACAAACGAGCGAACGGGCAGGCCGGCAACCTAGCAAGCTACCTGCTCCCGGTTCCGCTTCATTTGCTGCGTCTTCTCTGCTGAGGTTTCAGATCTTCCTCGTCAGTTTATAAGCAACTCATCCTGCTACGACTTGCCATTGCAGTCAGCGAGTTCAAATCTGTCTACACAAATCGCACAAGTTTTGTTGATACTGTTCGCTGCGCAAAACGCTTGTCGATTTCAGACCATTAACAATCATGCCTAGAGACGACCTGTCAATAGATTTCGTGAAGAGGATGCCTCAAGCCGAACCTCTGGATCCTGGCTTGATTTTGGAGGATTGGATCAACCGCGTTCAGAACCTGCCCGAAGAAATCCGATTTACCCACGATGAGATCCAAGACAAGGACCGCCAGTATGCCGAATGCATCCGCTTGATAGAGGATAGGGATGCCAAAATCCAGAAATGGATCAAGTCGAACGGCAGCAACGAGCCCAATCCTAAGGAGGAGACCTTGCGCTCCCAGATCCGACAAAGCTTCGAGCGAGCCGACCAACTCTCTAAAGAGAAGATATCCCTTACACAAAAGCTCCAACATCAATTCGACAAGCACCTCCGAAGTCTCGATGTCCAAATCAAATTGCTTTACGACCGTAACGAACCTGGGTTCGGCAATCCAGATGAAGTCCCTTCGCTTCTCCGACCAAGTGCTGCGAACCATAGCGCGCCCGCTGTCCGACCAACCAACCCAGCGGCAGGCGGTATCAAGGTCAGCCCAGTCCCAGCCAAGCCCGCGAACCGAACACCATCAACCAACCCAACCCTCGCCCGCTTACCTAGCCACTCGCAAATTCGCAATGCGCTGTCGCAACCATCGGTTCCACAGCATCCTTCGTCTGCACCAACCACCCCGGCAGCAAGCATGATTCTCAACAGAAACCAAAGGGAGAGTTCTGCGGGGCCTGCGACCAAGCGTGGGGCTCGTGTAACCTCGGGCCTTGGAACCCTCCCCGCTACATCTAGTGGTCTTGCCAGACACTCGTCATTGGGACCAGGCACTCCCAAGAATGGCCCTGGCACTGGTCCAGGTGGTGTGGCAAGAGCTGGTAGCGCCGGCCCGAGAGCGAGTTCAGTCAAGGCAATCTCTCAGACAGGAGCTAGGCGGGGTACTCCTGGTTCAATCAGCCGCAAAAAGCCACCCAACAAATCATCTCTATCACGCGTCAAAAAAGCCTCTAATAGGAACTCCCCCGCATCGACAGCAGATAGTGACCTGTCTGATGCAGTTAGCGCGAGTGGTGATGAGGAAGGTGCCGAGGTCCTCTCAAGAGGGACCCCTTCGAGAGATGGCAAAGATGCGGATGGTGATGACGTTCTTGCGGATGCTGACGACGACGACGACGAAGATGGCAGTGATGACAAGAAATATTGTCTGTGCCATAATGTGAGCTATGGTGACATGGTCGCTTGTGACAATGATGACTGTCCTTACGAATGGTTCCATTGGTCTTGTGTTGGTCTCAAGAGCGAACCCAACGGGACTTGGTATTGTCCTGAATGCTCTGAGAAACTAGGGCGAAAGAGCAAATAAGGTTTTTGGGTAACACAGCGGATTTACTGGGAATGGAGTTGGTCGGGTCGGTCTGTTTCTAGCCATTATTTTCAATACAGGATACCCCCTTTTCTTTGATCATTTTCACCGACCGAGACCATTATTTCATTATGCTGTACTTCGTCATGTCCCAGCCTGCTAGGACCCAAGAGCACAGCGTACTACGCCCCTTCTCACACCCTCCGTCTCTTCTCGTAGCTGCGTAATGGTACCTCCTCTTGCCGTAGCGTTCTCTATGAAATCGTCTAGCGATCCACCCACCCCAAAGTACAGACGTTTAGCTGCTACAACTGCAACTGCAGCCGATTCCGGCACACTTCGCTCCCGTTCAAGGATGGAGAAGATGGTCTCTGTAAAAGCCTGGAGGGCGAATGGGGAATATATAGTCTCAGATCCAAGAATCAGAGCAGTTGGTGAGGCAGCAGAGGCAGGGGCAGCCTCGTACATCAAGTCGACAAATTGCGAGGACCAAGCTCCTGAAAGGAACGAAAGGTTGATGTTGGATTCAGAGAGAGAGGTTTGGAAAGCCTCGAGGAGCTCCGGAGTGAGCTCTAATTCGCCGTCCTCAGTGAACGCCTCTTTCACCAAAGGGTTGCTGGACTGTACGGTGAGAGCCCAGGCGAGAATGAAATTGGGCAAAGTGACCAGCTGGAGAACTGTTGGGTTATAGTCTGCCGCGATGAATGAGAAAGGCCTGGGGCCGGATTTCCCCTGGCTCTGGATCGACCACTGGAACAGGGCGAGGGACGGTAATGCCGTTCCACATCCAAGCTATATTTTAACATAAATGCCAATGGTTAGCTTCTTTCGATTTTTCTTAAAAGAGAGTCTGATTATGGGGCGAATTCAAAGTACGAAATTATGCAGAATGCCGACCTACCTCGATTACTCGAACTGGCTTGCCCTCTGGGCCATAAAAGTCATCAGTCGCCGCCAGGACTTTGACCAAATCAACACTGCTTTCCCAACTTTTGAACCCTCCCTCATAAACACCAGACTTGACGTCATGCTGGCCCAGACCCTCGGGGCCAGCACCGCCCTCGTCCTCCGCCATGAGCTGGACTCTCACGTCCCACAGCTCTCGGCGGGGGATCTGCATAACGGTCTTGCCATCATCCAGGGCAACACCGAGGCAGCTAAAGGCAATTTTGGAGGGCAGCCGACTGATCAAAGAGGCGAGAGGCTCAAGAGTTGGAGGCAGCTGGGGTTTGCCAGGGATGGGAAAGGCGCTTGGGGCCGGCGCGGGAGGGGCCTGCGGCTGCTGTGACGGATTGGTCTCATCACCGGTGTCAATATCATCGCCTGAAAAGCCAAAGGAGAAGGCCATGGTCCGAGGATCTCAGTCTGCGGATAAATCTCAGCGATATATCAGTAAAGAAGATGCAGAAAGCTCTCGGCGGTGGTAATTATCAATTGAAGGCTTGGCTGTGGATGTGGGGCAGATGTCCAGAAAAAGTTTCCGTGGTGGTTCAATCGACGGCTCTCTGCAAAGGCATTAGCAATCAAAGGGCCCCCCGTCAATTGAATCACGGAGCCTGAAGCTCCCAATTCAATAATTGCTGTAAAGTCACTGCAGAGTACGGTGCAGCAACACTCTGCCTCTTTTCCTAGATCAAACATCATGCGTCCAACACTGGTGAGGCTGGCCACTGCCGCTGCTGAACAAGCTGGCAACAGCCTACGACCGCGGCCCATGGCTCTGCTCCCGCCCATCTTCTTATATCGTCGTATTCTGAGGGCTCACAGAAAGCATCTGCCGGCGGAAATGCGCGTGCTGGGCGACGAGTACGTCAAAGCCGAGTTCAGAGCTCACCGGAAAGTCGACAACCCGGCACACTTGGCAAGTCCCGAATTACCCTTTCCTGCGTGAGATTATCCAAGTCCTGCATCCTAACAAGGTTATTTGAACTGGCTTAGATTGGCTTTCTTTCTGAGTGGCAGCTCTATGCCCAGAAGATCGAGGGTGATTCGTGGAAGGGCCAAAAGATTGATGAGACCAAGCTTGCCAAGATGAGCGGTATGTTCTATTATTCTGTCTTGTGTCAAAACGCACGAGGGCGGGTGTTCATGCTCTGGCGCATGATCTTTTCAGGTTGCCTATCCTCTAACCGACTACATTCGCTAACATCTTATGCAGACGAACAAATCCAGCAATTATATGAGCTCTTGCAAGCCATTCAGAAACACAAGGGGGGTCCTGGCGATGAGGAGCCAGAGTCATAAGAAGCTGTTTCAAACCGAAATATACCATGTATCTACCATCTATGTATCTATATTTTATGGCCTATACGTTGCATTCTCTATCGCATTGTAAGTTGTATGATTAAGCGTGTCCAACGTGCTCATTAAGAAGGAGAGGAACGCCACGCCAAACTTTCCGGTAGAGAATCTCTACCTATTTTCCAATGCTTCAGCAATCCATGCTGCCTGAATAGCGCTCACTTTCTTGGCATAATTCTTATTCGTATAGACATGTTCGAGGAACATAATGGCCTCTTTCTTCTGTCCGTGGAGAACACTGGCTGGGTGTATAGCCACGACATGCTTCCCTTGCACCGTTATGTAGCTCGCATCAGGGGCGAGCATTGCCGTTTTGAGTGCGAATCCCTTCAGGAAACATTTGATGACCATCTCTGCCTGTTCCGGTGCCAGAGGAACAAAGGGCTGCGGGTCTTGGGGAGGGGCTTCAGATAACAGCCCTTCTTTCAAGCAGATGCCACGCAGCTGTCGACGAATATTCAATGCCTGTTTCATGTTGCGGATGTTGATCTTTCTCTTTTTGCACCATTCTATCCTGTTGGCGTTTTCGGCCGTGTATTGCTGGATCGTGGTAAGATAGGTGATGATATCTCCCTCCCGGCGCTGTACTTCACCCCTTGCCTGTTCAATCTCCTCTTGTGCTTCTTCAGACTGGACCTGGAGGAAGATGTCTTCTCCGGAAGTAATGCATGATATGATGTCAATTGTTTCGAGTACGCAGTCGAACTCGGGCCTAGCGGCTGCCAACAGGACCGTTCCCATTGGCGCAGAGAGAGGGAGCCTGGCCATCGTCTGACCTTTTGACGTGATAGAGCCATCATCGGCCAACGCGCCAAGAAAATGTAGGTGCACCAAGGCCCTTTCGATCGCCTCCGTTTCAGGGGCATCCATCAATGGGAAGGCAAGAACGTCTTGGATCCCCCTTGCTTTCATTGTAAGAACGGCTCCTAGAACATCGCTTCGTAGAATTTCAGGGAGGTCGGACCCCTGAAGATTTGTAAATGCGTCCTCGGTGTAGAGTCTAAAGCATTTTCCCGGGCCTTCACGTCCAGCACGACCAGTTCTCTGGATAGCAGATGACTTGGAGATGGGTTTTGCGAGCAGAGACTCCATCCCGAGCCGTGCACGGAACTGCTTGATCTTAGCTTTACCACAATCAATGACATATCTCACGCCGGGCACCGTAACTGAAGTCTCTGCAATATTTGTTGCCAAAATAACTTTTCTTGTGAACGGAGTCTTAACAGGCAAGAAAGCCTCACGCTGTGAATCCATCGACAGCTGTCCGTAGAGGGGGAAGACTCTGAGTTTAGGCATATTTGACGCCAGGGTCGTCGCATACTCCTCGATGATCTTTTGTGCAGCTTCGATTTCTTCTTGACCGGTGAGGAACGCAAGGATGTCGCCGGGAAGTGATTCCTGCGTGTGAACTTTGAAAATGGTTTTGAGAAGCGCATCTTGAAGATCGGCCACTGGCTTTTTTTCGTGTCTGAGCTCGACAGGAAACTGACGGCCTTTGATTCTCAGCACTTGAATTGCACTTTCACGTTTGTCCTCTGGATAGATGTCCCCAAAGAATCCCCGGATGGTATCCACATCAGCAGTTGCGCTCATGACAACCACCTTGAGCGAGATTCCAGCCCGGCCAGCTTTGTTTCCAGCCAGGATTTGCTTGAGGAAGCCAACGAGTAGGTCAGCATCAAGGCTTCGCTCGTGAATTTCATCCACGATGATTGCACTGTACTGCCGGAGGCTTGGGTCTCGCAGCAGCTCTTGGAGCAGCATGCCTTCAGTCAAGTACTTGATCTTTGTTCCTATTGGCACATTGTGGTCAAATCGAACAGAGTATCCAACTTTACCATCTTTCCGGCCCTTCCCAAGCGGAGTGCCAGCCTCCTGCGCTACTCGGTGGGCCAGTGTGGTTGCGGCAACTCGTCTAGGTTGCGTGATTGCGATGGTTCCCCCAATCTGCACCTCATCCTTGGAGCCGGGCAGCTGAACTTTTCGACGTTGACACCACGGTTCGGTATACAGAAACTGTGGCACTTGAGTACTCTTTCCTGAACCCGTTTCACCGACTAGAACAAGAACGTCATTGTCCGGGCCGCTCAGAGCGTTCTCAATATCTGAGCGGTGCTGCCAGATGGGAAGTTCCCGGCGAGTCTTCAGCAACTCTTTGTCCTCGCGGCCTTTGAACTGGGGCCCCTTCAGCCCATTCTCCCGGATCTTGGTGTGCTTCTCCTTGGGTTCTGACTTTGTGGGTTTCTCTGGCCCATGAGCGGTCTCTGCGCCGTTGACAGTCTCAGCTGAAGCAGTGGTGGGCACAGCGGGCGACGGTGCAGGTTTTTTGGGGGCATTTAGATAGCCCTCTAGAGAAATGGCCTTGCCACCAATTTTAAGCGAAGCAGACTCTTTCTTGTCCGTTTTTCTTCGCTTTGAGCGATGCTGTCCGTCCTTTTCGAGTGACATTTTGGATTCGTTGTGATGCAGCAGTGCTTGACCCAAAACTTCTTCTCTGCCTGTTGAGGACGTCGGTTGCTGGGATAGAAAATCGCAGCGATTGGCTGTGGCTATAATATGGGGCACAGTGTGTCTTGTGTTCAACCGCACGGTCTAAGCGGCCAGCACGAAATCTCTAGATCTTGAACCTAACCTACAGCATGAGAATCATTCATGGATTTCACTCAAGAGGGTTTTCAATACGTGATTAATTCTAAAAGTCTTGTTTTGACGCTTATACGGAAAGTGCTTGTGTAGGAGACCAAATGAGAAGCAAAAAACAAAAGAGAGAATGGCATCTTGATGAACCAAATCTCGCAACCTCTAGGCCTTTCTCAACCCCTGCTTGATTCGTTAGGAACATCTCTAGTTGATGCGGGCTAAGCGTTCTCTGTTCATTCGGGTAGCATCGTCGACAGCATCGCTCTGTAATTTTGTGGTTAGTGATATACTCAACCAACGTGGCAAGGGAGAGGGGGATTGAGGGGCCTTCAAAACAAACCTTCTGTGTGATTCGGTCGATCATCTTGTTCTGTGCGTCCACCTCCTTGCCAATTGCTTTACCGACCATGTTCATCATCTTAACCTGGCTCTCCAATTCTCCAAGCCCATCATCAATTTGCTCCTCAAGGTCATCATCCTCATCGTCCAAGTTGTACTTTCCGTAGCCCTTCTTGGTAGTCTGTTTCTGTCGCGCACCAGCACTGTTAAAAGCCTTGAAGCTGTCTTCCATGCGCTGGTTGGCTGCGAAACCCTCCCGACGAGTGTTCTCTCGTGCTTCTCGCTCATCATGGTGGCGCTTCATGACTGCCTCGTCGGCCCTTGCTTGGCGCTCCTTGGAGGTGAACGGGTTGCCCACGTGTACCGCAAACATGCTTCTGTTGAGCGTCTTGAGTTCGGAGGCCTTGTCCTGAGCAATCTTATTCTGGTTGGAGGCGAGATCCAAGTTCTTCTCAGTGTTGTGGAGACGCTCGCCCTGAGCGCCAAGTCGAGCCAGCGTCGCCCGTCCCACCTCGTTTGCCTGTCTCGCCATCAAGACGGAACGGTTGACGGAGTTGGCACTCTCCTGCTGCACCGCTCGCTTCTCGGATAGAATGGCCTGGACTTCTTGCTCCTCCTGCTCCTCGGCGGTCAACTCTCGCTGCTCGCCATAACCACCGTAGTCGCCCCCAGCAGCACTGCCTCCAGCATCGGGGTATGCAGGAGGAGGGCGCTGCTGCTTTTGCTCGTATCTCTCTTGAGCTCCGGCAAACAGTGCGTCTCGGTTGCTGTCTGGCTCGTTACCCCCAAGACCGCCGTACCCACTGACACGGCTGCCTGCGCTGTATGGGTTCTGAGAAGCTGGGGATTCGTATCTGTTCGAGCCGTAGCCACCTCCGGAGCCGTACTGGTTGTTGCCGTAACCGCCGCCATTCGGGCCAGGTGCGCCTCCGGGTGCGCCTCCAGGATTGTTCAGTCCTGCTCGAGCCTGCTGGTAGGCAGTCGTGGGCTTCGAGCTAGTATAGGGATCGTTGGCTGGCGCTTGTCGGGCATAGGGGTTGTCGGACTGAGGGGCAGGGGGGGAATTGGGAGCGGGAGAGGACTTCTTACGCCCGAACAGAGCGCTGCGGTTGGCCTCGTCGCCATCGTCGGCACTCTTCTTCCCGAAGCCAAATTTCTTCATTTTGATCGAGGGCTACCGTGATAAGAATGGGAAAACAGCACAATAGTATGTAGTGAATGTGGGAGAGCGTAGGCGGGCGGTGTGGTATTGGTCGGGGTGATATACGGCGATCAGATCAGCTCGTCCCGACAAGTGGGCTGTGGTGTGGACGCACTAAGATTATACTTGGGCGGTTGACACTGAACCAGCAACACGGCGGGTATGCATGGACCTAAATCCAGCCCGAAAGCACCCCAGGGGCTTACACCTGCGGATGCAATTGGGTTTCAAGGCTCCTCACACTGCGCTACCCAGACCCTTCGCGTTAGGTGGTCATCGTCATGAACCAACGGGGAGCCTGAGCGCCACCCCTCCCCCACCATCAGAGGTGATGGGCCTGCTCAGGCTGCCGTTGCAATGCAGTGAGCCGTAGGTTTTAGGGGCTCAGCTCCGGGCCCACCGCTGAGACTCCCCCGCCTTCAGGCGTGAGTCCAGACACACGCCCCCTGGTCGCCCTTTGGATAGTGGACGCCTTGACGCCGTAAGAAATACAGACGACAGTCTTTGGGGCTGAGGAGGCTGAAAGTTTACGAGTTCGCCACAGCCCCAGCCACCAGAAGATGAATAACGATGGGGAAGAGTGCACCCAGTTGGTATTTGATGTATTCACGGAAGGCTGGCCTCTACCAGGTGCATTAATGCAATCTGCTGCGAGGAAAGGATGCAGTGTTGCTGTAGCAGTTGTCTTCTGACATGCCTGCCACCCTGCTCTTCGGACACGAGGATCAGAAAAGATACTTGGAGGTACCGCCTCACAGTCGGC